TCGAAACATTAAGTACAACCCTGAGAACAGAATGCCAAGCCACGATCTGGCCACGTGAATAAGTTGAAGTTACATCCTCCTAACAGGAAAAGTAACTTTCGTTATCATGGAATTATAACAAAACCTGCCAATTCAATATAAATGGAAAAAAAATATTATATGGAATTGAACGAATATGAAAATTTGCTTGATAATTCAACTACGCTTGTTGGAGAACAATAAAAACACTACACTTAATAAGCCACCAATAAAACTCAACTGCCTAACCTATAACCAAAGTCTCCTTTTAATTTGTTTTTTTTTTAAAAAAGCGCTTGACAAACTTGCCCCGCATGCCGAAGTTGCCCCGGTCTCCCCTAATATTATAATTTGTTGCAGCAATGTCAACAAGACGATAAAGGAGAGTTAGTAACTATGTCTTTGTAATTTGGGATGTGGTGTAGGATGAACACGTGTGATTTACAGTATCTACACCACCTTTAATGACATTGTAATCCAAATTTCCCACAGGTTTGTTAGTTTCCTGATAAACTTCAGAAGTGTCAAGCATGGTGAAAAGAAAGATTACACATCAAATACAATGCTCCAAAAGGGTCTTTTATTTGTATTTCTGCAGTCTCTATCTTTTGCATACTTGATGTCAGCCCTTTTTTCTGAATATATCTGTTAGTATTTGTTATGATTCCTTATATCATTTGATATCAGTAATAAACAAGTAAAATTCATCTATTTCTTTACTTGTATTTTTGGCAGTAAGTTTTGGTCCCGACAATATTTTCATAATACTTTTTGGTTTTGTGTTATCCAAATATACAGATTTACTGATCCACGAAGTTTTTTTTTATGTTTTTTTATTTAAAATTGATATTTGTTTTTTTCTATCTTTCATGTTTACTGTTTTCTACTATGAGAACATTATCTATGTCATTCCGATTGTTTGGAATCACTATCATGAGAATTTTTTTCTATAATTTTCTCTTCTGTTTCACTTTCACTGTGATAGTCAATTTCTGCTGGCTCTACACTCTCTTCGATTAATTCTTTCAATACTTGTTCTCAAGCTCTTTCCAACTCTTTCTGGTTTAAACGTTTACGAGATCTAAAGACATCAATAAAATACAGATTTTACAAAAGCTGATTGGAACACTTATAGAATAATATAAATTTAAAAATTTATAGAAACGTACATCATTGTTAATTTAATATATTTGATGAATAAAGTTACAAATATTGACCTAATTTATAAAAAAATTAAAAACATAAATATAAATCTATGTTGATATTTTATTTGAAGAAGTGACATAAAAGTAACTGAGAAAATGTAAAGACATTACGATTTCTTACATGGTTATATTGATAAAAATAATGATGATCTACAGGTTCATCATAATATTTCTCATATAACAATTTTAAAAGATAATAATATTGTATTTAATTTACAGAATTATCAATATTTTTGACAAAAATAAAAGGTTATTTTTATATATTTTAAAATAGATATTTATGTTTCTTATTGAAGTACATCAATGATTATATGTTATTTCAGTCGGTTTTCATAAACAGAAAATCATTTTTAACAAAATTTTTACAAATTCATCGTTATAAAATTTGTTTGTTACATATAATTCGGATAAACATAGATTTCTAAAACTTTTATACAAGAAATATATGCAAAAATAACTGCAATGTACGAGGAGTGTTCAAATGAAAAGGTACAAAACGATGTCACAACCAAACTGGTTGAAATGGGAATACCATAGTGAGACATCTACGGTAGTGTCTGGAATCCTGTATCAGGATGTAGTCACCATCACAAATATACAAATATATCGTACGACGAATATAAAGATGTTTATAATATATATTGTTTTGGTCAAGAAATTATTAAGTTTTATGTAAAGAAATTAAACAATAATTTCTTGCATAAATCTTATTGCTCTAATCAAAAGTAAATGGTTTAGAAGGAACCATTTCAATTGTCTTTTGATAAAAATATGTAATTTAAGTTAAATTATAACTTTTAAAATTGAAAGGATTATGCTTTACATTTTCGTTAAATGCTGAATCAGAAACTAATCTGAGAGTTATTCTATAAATAATAAACCCGATTGAAGGGGAAAAATGGCATCACCCGATTTATTAACTTAAATATTCTTTTTGGTATTTAAAGGAATATGTCTCTCACTCAGTTTCCTGATAACATTTTAAATTTTTTTTCATATTTCGAAAAACCGTGTTGTATCTTTATATTAGTTTTTCAAAACCGAAATGCAGCGTAAAAATCAACACTTGCCATAACTCATTCATTTCAGTTTTTGTTGCTTATTACGCAGCATTGTGGTTTTGAAAAACTAATTTTAAATTTTCTTAATTTACAAACTTCGGTCGATATGTTTCCTCGAAACAAATGATCACATATTTTGCATAAATCATTGATTTTATTGAGAGGAGCTTCTTTCAGTGTTACTCTTCTCTGTGACAGTGTAGTCTTTGCCAAAAGTGCTAACATGTAATAATTTTTTTTTTACATTTTTTCATTTTAACAGTAAATTTATCCAAAGAATACGTTGTTTATCAGGAAAACACGAATCTCTCACACAAAATTTTTTATCTGTTTTAAAATGAAAATCTAATAACAAATAACCAAATTTCTTTTCTGTTGCTTTTTTGTATGCATCCATAAAAAAATTAAATTTTTCTGCTAAAGCTTGACGACTCAAACAATTTATCTGACTCTCATTCCGATTATTTTAAAATAAAATTAAATAATGAGTATTTAAACTAATATTTGTCATAATCTTATTTTCAGGAAAAATTAATTTGACATTATTAAAATCACACTTGCATTACAGTGATGAGATTCCATCATAAACAGAAATGTTGTTTTGGAATCAGTTCATGCATCAGATCATCAATTATTATTAAATCCCATTCTTGGACAAAGTCTGGTAACCCATAAATAAATGATATAAATTTTCTTTTTTGAAAAAAACAGTAGATAACACCACATAATCTTCTTAAGAGGATTTTCATTAAATTTGTTGTGAATAATTTTTTCCCCAATGTGGTTTTTNTATATTACTATGCTTTTTGCAATCATTTCTACCGCATTCTTGAAAAATCGATTTTGTCCTATTGTTTTTGTGTCTTCCATAAATAAAACAAATTTCAGGTTTTGCTACTTCTTTGGACGGCTCTTTATTTTTCTTATATTTTTCCAAAAAGTTCGAATGTCTTTAGGAGATGTCAGCATCATAGATCATTCTTTCAAATGTTCTTCCATTACACTCAGAGCAAGTTTTTTTATAAAATGTCGTCTTTTGTCTTTGTTATCAGGATTATTAAATTTAAATATAATATTGGAATTTGTTCCAGCAATGTCAACATGACGATAAAAGAGAGTTAGTGGCCATCTAATTGTAATTNTATC